AAAGCCCGCTCCTTGGTGATGGTCTGCAAAGCCGGCTTCCTGGCCAATCAGCATGGAGCCAGTTTCCCGGTCAATCAGGTCATTACTCGCCACCCGGCTCCCTGATTGACCGGGAAAAAGGTTTCCCGGCTAATCACAATCAAGCAGGCCAAACAACATGGAACCGGCTTCCGTGGCAATCAGGAACCTGGGTGGGATGTCATTACCCGCTGCCCGGCTTCCCGATTACCAGGGAAGCCTGCTCCATGCCAGCGGAAGCACCGGTATTAGTATTCAGTGTCGGCGAGATCCGAAAGCAAAAACTCGGTACTCATACTCGATACTGAAAAACCGGTATTGGTGCATCCCTAGTTTTGATTAAAACAATTTTTTTGTAATAGGACAAGTAGATTGTCATGAAGGACAAGTAGATTTGGCCTCCACTTTAGCCCTTGGACAAGTAGTTTTTTTTTTTTTAAATTTCCACATCCCCTGTAGCTTCTAGGGGTTGAGGACTTAAATTAACTTCTGTAGAGTCTGACTTGTTGGCCCATGACTGATAACGCCCCTGCAAACTGTTCACCTAGTAGAAGGTCGTCCAGATATTCCACTATTGAAATGCCCTGTGAGCTCATCCAGCTTACCACAGAGGCTAGGGCCCTGGTGAATACACGAAGTGTGGAAGACAGACCAAAGAAGAAAAAAAAAAGGCAAACGTAGTGTTGCATGCCCAGGGCTTGAAATATCCACTCGTCCTCTCGTTTCTGACGAGAGGACGCCGGAGCCTGACGAGTAGATTCCTGCCCCGGGCATTGTAATTAAACGGCCGGCGAGCTTTGCATTCAAGCGTCTCTAGACCCGTTGCCGTTCCCAAGATCTGCGGTGCCTGGAGCGGCTGGGACCAGTACGGCTGCTCTGTGACAGGAGATCAAAAGCAGATTGGTACACAATCTTGCTCTGACCTCCTCTTCATCCTGAGTGCAGGTAGTGATGTACATTACTTCCGCATTCTGCTGTCACTCTCCAGCTTCAGAAGCTGGGGAGAACCAGATCTCTGCTTCATCAGCTTCTCTGGGGGTCCATAGGTGACATTAGGGGTCTTAGAGGCCCCTAATGTCTCCAAAAAGAGGACCCGTCATGTAAATTGGCTATCACAAAGTGGGCTTCATATCCCCTCATGTGATAGCAATAAAAAGTTTACTGTAAAAAAAAAAAAAAAATTTGATGGTATTTTGCCTCATCCATTTTCCCTTTTATCCTGGCAAGTGCTTTAGTCCCTGCTGCAGAGAAACACCCCATAACAGGTTATTACCACCTCCATGCTTTACTGTAGGAATGGTGTTATTTGGATGGTGAGCTGTATTGGATTTACGTCAGCCATATAGTTTGTGTTGAGGCCAAACAATTCAATTTTAGTCTCATCTGACACCTTTTTCCATGTGGCCTCAGAATCTTCAAGGTATGTTTTGAAAAAGCTCAGTCGTGACTGCATGTGGCCTCTTAGTGGCTTTTTTCTTGCAACCCTCCCATACAAGCCATATTTGTGAAGAATTTGTGATAT